TTACTTTCCTTATATACGTTTCTTATTTTTGTTAAACGAGTTCAAGATAATAAAGTTATAAATGTTAATAACTGAATGCTTTTTTCTCGCTGATAATTTCTTTCTCCAGATAAATATTGTTGCAAAAATTGGATACATTATGATAAGAGAAACTTGATTAGGATAATTATTGATAAAACCTTTTAGCTAGCTAGGTATGAACGTGGAAAGATAAAAGCAGTCGGTTATATGGATAAACGATAAACTTCGATCGCGATTACTAACACTCATCTATGGTAAATGTCGTAACGCAACACGAGTAATATTTATTGCTCGATCGTCCGTGGAATTTTCTCGTGTTCGAATTTTTCGGTCACCTGGTTTCATCACGATTTTACAATTCGCTATGCCGAACGACGCGTCAATTTTCTCACAATGGGAATGTAATGACAATGAAAAACGACAACGAGAAGCGTGGCTCTTGATGATCACGTGGTAACACTTTGACGAACAGGGCGCAATAGAGCTTCAAATGGCAATTTGCGAATGAATATCTTATTATCCGTACGAGACGCTTAACATATTGATTAGCGATTGTCGCTTTTCGCTGAATAGAAACTGGGTATTTGTACAGGTTTCCCTGATGCCACTTTCAGAATTGTTAAGATAAACACATATTTGACACTACGTCATAATTTAATGTCTTTCCTATTAGTGCAAATTTTTTTGCGCATAGAATATTTGAAAATAACAATGTATGTGTGAAATTACAAAATAAATTAAATGCCTTAAATTTTCATTTGGAACAGATAAAGTAGTAATCTTTATTTGAAAGAATTATTACCTTTGATTTGGTTCAGTTATAATTTATTGGTCAAATGTATTACCTAGGGATATAGTAATCGATACAAATTCCTGTATTGTTAATATCGTGTTGAAGATCCTTACCTCTGACGACCAGCCTCGCTGGTTCAGAAGTCAACGCATCCTGCGTTGTAAAGTCGCTTGCTGTGACCTGGCACTGCCACAAACCATCGTCGAACTCCAAAGTGGCCGATCTGACCCATAATGAACAGTCACCGATATCTGGTCGCCCCACCCATTCGTATTTCTTCAAATGTATTCCAATCGGCTGAAACAATTAAGATGTATAAAAATATAAAATTAGCATATGTTCATACCTGTTGCCTAAACTTCATTAAAAACGTCAAAAATGTATATTAAAATAATATTCTAAACAACAAATAAGAAATCGCCACATCTCTGAATGCATAAGAGGTTTAAGAAACAAGCCATTATTAGTGAGTCAAATTTTTTTGAATTGACCGTATTCTGAGAAATCCGATAAATCGTAGGGAAGCAAGTGGCACCAACAGATCCCCGTAAACAATAGGCAGCGTATGTCAGCGTTTTGTGCGATCATTTAATCGACGAAGGGAATGGTTGATCGTTCCTCGTTATCGGAATCCTCTCAAGCCTCTCTCTTTCGCTGCGTTCCTCTTCCCCTCCGTTCCCTTCTGAAATGAATCATCGGCTCCGAGGCGCTTCTCTTCTTTCGCGTAGATTAATTCGCTGGAAGGGTAGGAAAGTGCGGTCTTAGCAAGTTTCGCAGTCATAATGTGACCGTAATTCAAGGATCGATGTTCCACCGCAGGGTGCTCATACAATTCATCCCCTTCGGGCTTTATCTTTCGATTTTAGACAATTTTCAAACCCTTCTTCTACGGTAGATGGCTTATCCAGGCAGGACCATCCTAACCACAGGGTGCCTAACACTAAAGCCCACACCTAAAGCCCCGGAGCGCAGGCCTTTTGGGGGCGGCAATTTTTATTGGTATTATATTTTTTATTATCATTAGTATTTTTATTTGAAATCTTTTCATGACAACAATAACCAAATAACCTATTCTAAATGAACTAAAAAGTATTATATGTATGCATATCGTTGATTTGGAGTTTGGTAATAAATATGTATTCTTAGAATTTCCCCGGTCACTTATACTAATATAGTCTATCAATGAAATACGTTTGGTTTTGGTTCGGTTCGCGCCAGTTTTCTACACTTTTGTATAACTTTGCCGGTCACCCTGCTCCCGCTAGCCATTCAGTGTATTTTATTATGAAGAGAAGCGCATTATTTTTAGTAGCCCATGGGCGCCGAATATCTTAGCTATCCAGGCCACTTTATTACCACACATTATTTATATAGCACGTGAAATTCCACTCTGGACACCGACTCCTCTGTTGCGCCAGAAAAATCTCGTCGTTCGTCATTTAAGACCATTAACGGTTAACGAGTTTTCGTAATCCCTAGTCAGGCCCCATGGAAATCCTTCTTGAGTTAACACCAGCTTGGCCTCTCTCTACAGGATCGCAATCTTTTTTGCCTACCTTGCTTAGTGTAAATAATTTCCACGGTTTGGCGGCCCTTCGTATTTCCAATCTTCCTTCTTATTATTTTGTACTTTAATTATCAAATATATAGAAAATTGATGATTCAATTGATTTAGACTTGTTATTTGCGACAGAATAGAATTTCTTTCATCTTTTTTAAATGCAAAAATGATTGACGTACTTAATGAAAAATGTTGTAAAAATTACGCGTCGATATAACAATTTCCATCCAGTTTCTGTAAAAGCAAACATTTTCTCTGTTGTTTTCGAATTAAAAGCAAGATTCACGAAGGCGCGGGTCGTTCGATTAAACTTGAAATCCCCAGCCAGAGGAAAGTTCTGATCGTTCGGGCGACGTCGGTACGAGAAAGGATTTTCCACGGGACAGTGACGTGGTACGTATGTAATTCCGGAATTAGAAAGGAACGATGAGCTTTCTGCATTCCCAGGAAAGAGGAATTGCAACGTTCTCAACGTTTTACAACCGGAACTGGAAGGCGCACGGTCTTGATTCCTGTTGAAAAGTCAAATCCTTCGAAGGCATGGAATCACTTTAGCGAAATAGGTGTACGAAATCGCCTTCACCGGATTACTAGAACTCCCACCTCTCCTCTTTCCCCGACAGCTACCGTTCCTCGTGCAGCGCGGCTTGGCGCCGCTTTTCACCCTTCGCGTTTCTACCTCGCCTCTTTTTACCCCCGAAGAGAAAATTCCGACCCTCTGCTGCGCCTTTTACGTTCGTTTCAACTCGCCACGAACCAGCCGCTCCTCCTCCTTTCCACCGGACTTCCGTCGCTACTCATACCTCGAAAGAGTTCGCAATGAATCTCGAAGTTAACAACTTTTTCGTTGGAACCGAGAAGGCCTAGCGAGACCAGAGAGGAAAAGATAGAGAAGGCGAATCGCGGCGCGGTAGAGTTGACGGAGGAGTGAGGGATGGAACGATAGAAGTACTCAAGGAGAGGGATAGAAGCGTTTCAAGTTCTCGCGGCGAAGAGGATGGGCCGGTTTTCGCATCGATCCACGTCCTGCCGATCTATTTCGTTGCTCTCGAAGAGATTGCCATTGCGTCTGCATTACTCCAAAGCTCTCTCGCGTTATCAGGGTCTTTGGCCCACAGGGTACAGGCGCGGCGCTCCTCGTACGTTGCGCGCACACATGCGAGTGCGGGCGCACGTTGCGACTGTGTGCATCGAGTAGGCGGGGTACAAAGGGGTCAGGGGAGTGTGTCTGCGGGTGCATTACGCTGATTGCTGGTCGCGGCCTCTCCGGAGAACACAGGGCGAGGCGAAACGGGGAAAGATGGAAGAGGCGGTGACGGACTTGAGTTGCCGTGGAACGAAGATAGGACAGGGAAGAAAAGGGAATAAGGGTCCTTTCCACGTTAAGTAAGTGAATGCTCGTACATTCCCGGCGTGAGCCGGTGCACGGATTTTAATCCTTTAAATGAATGACGCCGGTGACGCTGACTTGCCCTCTGTCTCTCTTCCATTTCCTCCTTCACCTTCTTCAGTATTGTTTGTCTTCTCGACGCATCGGTTCTTCGGTATTCGACATTTTCCTATCCTCGTGATAAATAAATACATGGAACACCATGAACTTTCAACTGGAATTACATTTTTACTTTCATTCATATATACTTATAAGATTGCATTGCAATTCACGTCTCTACTATGTCTGACCGTCTGTTCCGTATTTGAGGACAGTTTCGTCATTGTTTAATTGATTAGTTCTTGTCCTCGGATTGTGGAATACTTGATGTAATTTAGATTAGAAGTGCACGATTGGATAAAGGAAAATGTTTCGCTTATTGTGACATACATATGTGATAGTATCAAATACTATACATGGATGTATCAAGCGAAACTTGAGTTCTACATTTTACATGAACGAAATTCGTGTTCAAGGTGAACGGATGAAAAATCTATGAAAAAGACGAATATACGTACGCAAGGGGATGGGTAAGATGCTAATATCCGTGTAATTGCGTACGCGTCTCGCAACACGGTTAACGTCAACGCGGCAGCAATTCATTATTCTCCTTGTCCTGAGGACGCGCGTCGCCTTTATCTACCACGGTGCAAATAATCATCGCGAGAGGATCTCCCATTGTATTATTGTACGACTGCCGTTGAATAATAAACTGCAACTGCTCCCGCGCTCCCATTGGAAACCAGCTCCCGCTATTTTTATTCTTAATACGACGTTGCCGAATGTGGCCATGAAAAATGTAATTCCTCGTCGATTATCACCGAGTTGCGTTGGATTATAACTTTTTTATAGAAAAGTGTTCGATCGTATAATACACGTAAAAAAACTTGATATTTTACGAACTGTTCTCTATAGTAATAAAATAATTACCTCGAGTAAATAGTAGAAGATTAGTAATAACATAATCATGTTTAATGTCTAACATAACGTTAAGCCAATTTTATATCTGATAACAAGTCCAAGTGCATGGTATTATTTTAATCGCTAAATTATAAACATTATTTTACCTGAGCAAATATTTACCTTACGCTAGTTTTTTTAGTTTTGGTGGTGTAAGCTATGAAGGAAACAATGAGAAGCTCGGACTGGATATGAATAAGAACGATAGAATTTTCGCGGTGCGGAGCACGTAAGAAGGCACCCGAGGGATCGTAAACAAGAGAGCAGGTCGGATCTCGCCAAGAAAATTATCCCGCTCGTTATTTATATCTTTCATATATATTCACTTTCTAGTGAGGGAGTCCGAAAAGGAAGGATCAACTGTTAAGTTAAGAGTAAAAACGTGCGCGAGAGATGGAGGAAGTAACGAGAGATCGCAAAAGGGTACATAAATCGCGACTTTCGTAGGCGATCTTGTTTTAGGATCAGCTATTCTAAAAAGGGTTGCTTTCTTGTTGCCAAACGCGGTAATTCGTTACAAGCGGAAATCCCATTCTTAAAGAGCTTTAAACGTATTTACATTATTATCATTTGTAAATCGCGTGAAACTTGTTCTAAATCTCATTTTCATTTATGAATATTCGTTCACTTTTATCCATTTTATGCCTTATCATATTTAGGGTATTTGCAAAGTGTGTGTGTGTCAATTTACACAGCTAGTACGTAATAACTGTTAGTATGTTATTTTAACTTCTTTACACAACGAGGTAGAAGTAATTTTTTATCCAGTACTAAAGTATAACTGTACGAATTATTTCCTGTCGAGTGTAAAATACTCTTAATCATGGGAATCAGCAAATTCTCAGAGGAACAAATACGATGTAAGCAAATATGTGTATAAGCTCAGTACCGTATTTACATTTAACCACGAGTTACAATGGTAAGTTAGGTGACGAAGAGGAATACCGGTCTCATGTAAATAAGTTTATTCCTAGTTACCCGATTCGAGAGATCCGTAGGGTAAATATGTATATAGGTATATCGAGGGGTGGATCAGGGATATTTAAGATACACCATTCGGTTGTTCCTGTTTAATCATCCCTTGATGAAGCTCGTTCGAAGGAGCATCTATGAATCGATTTATAAGTCTGGAGAAGCTGACAATAAAGTGGTAATAAAATTCTACTCTCAACAAGTAATTAATCAGTTAAACGATTTCGCTTGGTTTTATTTACTTGTATCATACTATACTATCATAATTATATCATATTACATTATCTGTTAATATAATATCAGGTCTAGTAATAATTAATGTTATTTTCCAATACGTAGACGAACATTAAAAAACGACA